AATAGTCCCAATTTTTTAATGAGAATATATCTAGTGACATTGGAGATAACTTTGACATGAAATTTTAAAATTTTTTTTCTCAGGTAAACAACAGTCTGACCCTCTAACATGGGTCACTTTTGGCAGATTTAAGATTGTGATGATACAAATTGTAATAATTTTATCAAATTTCACCATAAAACCTTAAAAAACTTGCTTCTAATGTTTAATAAATTAAAATTTGCATTTACTGAAAATAAAATTTCCATTTATAAGAATTCTAAAAACATTTTTTGGTGGTGTTTCAGTTAGCACATGTGTATGTCTTAGCATCCTTTTTCTTGGCCTACTATCTTTTTTAAGGATTTGAAAATACTAGAGTCACTAAATTTTTAACGTTTTGGAGAAAATATGATCATATTTTTGGGCCTATTTAAATATAGGCCTAGTTGAAATATTAAAAACGCTCAATGCTATCGCGCGAAATTCAGAAATTTTGGATCTATCAAGGAAATATTCTCATATAACATTGACCAAATTGTTATCAAATGTTTATAAATTATATTATGATTGATTAATTAACGATTCATGTCTTCAGAATTGTAAATCGCTGCATAAATTGATTGTAAAATGCTAAAAAATTAATTTGTTTAAAAAAAACCCAAATGTTCGCTACACTTAGGCAACTCAACACCAATTGGGAGTAAATGGGTCTTAAAATATAGGGGCAGATGTATTTTATCATCCCGAGATCCAATATTGATTAAACATTTCATTTATAAATTATAAATGCGCTACAATTTTGAATCAATAATTAAGGACTTGTTTCGTAAATATTTTCTAGCGCAGTTATTTTGCTACTTTAAATAAATTTCAATATTGTTTTAATAAAGTGGACTATATGCTTTAATTTACCGCAAAAAAAAAATTATTATCTTAAGTTTTTTAATGGTATAAAAGAGAAAATAATAAACAAAAAAATGCGCTATATTTTTGAGCAGAGCTTTATAGTATATTCTAGACTATAGACTAGACTATAGAATAGACTAGACTATAGACTAGACTATAGACTAGTCTATAGACTAGACTATAGTCTATAGTCTAGTCTATAGTCTAGTCTAGTCTAGTCTAGTCTAGTCTAGTCTAGTCTATAGTCTATAGTCTATAGTCTAGTCCTATAGTCTAGTCTATAGTCTAGTCTATAGTCTAGTCTATAGTCTAGTCTATAGTCTAGTCTATAGTCTAGTCTATAGTCTAGTCTATAGTCTAGTCTAGTCTATAGTATAGTCTATAGTCTAGTCTATAGTCTAGTCAATAGTCTAGTCTATAGTCTAGTCTAGTCTAGTCTATAGTCTAGTCTATAGTCCAGTCTATAGTCTAGTATAGTCTAGTCTATAGTCTAGTCTATAGTCTAGTCTATAGTCTAGTCTATAGTCTAGTCTAGTCTATAGTCTAGTCTAGTCTATTCTATAGTCTAGTCTATAGTCTAGTCTATAGTCTAGTCTATAGTCTAGTCTATAGTCTAGTCTATAGTCAGTCTATAGTCTAGTCTATAGTCTAGTCTATAGTCTATAGTCTAGTCTATAGTCTAGTCTATAGTCTAGTCTATAGTCTAGTCTATAGTCTAGTCTATAGTCTAGTCTATAGTCTAGTCTATAGTCTAGTCTATAGTCTAGTCTATAGTCTAGTCTATAGTCTAGTCTATAGTCTAGTCTATAGTCTAGTCTATAGTCTAGTTATAGTCTAGTCTATAGTCTAGTCTATAGTCTAGTCTATAGTCTAGTCTATAGTCTAGTCTATAGTCTAGTCTATAGTCTAGTCTAGTCTATAGTCTAGTCTATAGTCTAGTCTATAGTCTAGTCTATAGTCTAGTCTATAGTCTAGTCTATAGTCTAGTCTATAGTCTAGTCTATAGTCTAGTCTATAGTCTAGTCTATAGTCTAGTCTATAGTCTAGTCTATAGTCTAGTCTATAGTCTAGTCTATAGTCTAGTCTATAGTCTAGTCTATAGTCTAGTCTATAGTCTAGTCTATAGTCTAGTCTATAGTCTATAGTCTAGTCTATAGTCTAGTCTATAGTCTAGTCTATAGTCTAGTCTATAGTCTAGTCTATAGTCTAGTCTATAGTCTAGTCTATAGTCTAGTCTATAGTCTAGTCTATAGTCTAGTCTATAGTCTAGTCTATAGTCTAGTCTATAGTCTAGTCTATAGTCTAGTCTATAGTCTAGTCTATAGTCTAGTCTATAGTCTAGTCTATAGTCTAGTCTATAGTCTACTATAGTAGTCTATAGTCTACTCTATAGTCTAGTCTATAGTCTAGTCTATAGTCTAGTCTATAGTCTAGTCTATAGTCTAGTCTATAGTCTAGTCTATAGTCTAGTCTACAGTCTAGTCTATAGTCTAGTCTATAGTCTAGTCTATAGTCTAGTCTATAGTCTAGTCTATAGTCTAGTCTATAGTCTAGTCTATAGTCTAGTCTATAGTCTAGTCTATAGTCTAGTCTATAGTCTAGTCTATAGTCTAGTCTATAGTCTAGTCTAGTCTAGTCTATAGTCTAGTCTATAGTCTAGTCATAGTCTAGTCTATAGTCTAGTCCATAGTCTAGTCTATAGTCTAGTCTATAGTCTAGTCTATAGTCTAGTCTATAGTCTAGTCTATAGTCTAGTCTATAGTCTAGTCTATAGTCTAGTCTATAGTCTAGTCTATAGTCTAGTCTATAGTCTAGTCTATAGTCTAGTCTATAGTCTAGTCTATAGTCTAGTCTATAGTCTAGTCTATAGTCTAGTCTATAGTCTAGTCTATAGTCTAGTCTATAGTCTAATCTATAGTCTAATCTATATAGTCTAGTCTATAGTCTAGTCTATAGTCTAGTCTATAGTCTAGTCTATAGTCTAGTCTATAGTCTAATCTATAGTCTAGTCTATAGTCTAGTCTATAGTCTAGTCTATAGTCTAGTCTATAGTCTAGTCTAGTCTACAGTCTAGTCTATAGTCTAGTCTAGTCTATAGTCTAGTCTATAGTCTATAGTCTAGTCTATAGTCTAGTCTATAGTCTAGTCTATAGTCTAGTCTATAGTCTAGTCTATAGTCTAGTCTATAGTCTAGTCTATAGTCTAGTCTATAGTCTAGTCTATAGTCTAGTCTATAGTCTAGTCTATAGTCTAGTCTATAGTCTAGTCTATAGTCTAATCTATAGTCTAGTCTATAGTCTAGTCTATAGTCTAGTCTATAGTCTAGTCTAGTCTATAGTATAGTCTATAGTCTAGTCTATAGTCTAGTCTATAGTCTAGTCTATAGTCTAGTCTATAGTCTAGTCTATAGTCTAGTCTATAGTCTGGTCTATAGTCTAGTCTATATTCTAGTCTATAGTCTAGTCTATAGTCTAGTCTATAGTCTAGTCTATAGTCTAGTCTATAGTCTAGTCTATAGTCTAGTCTATAGTCTAGTCTATAGTCTAGTCTATAGTCTAGTCTATAGTCTAGTCTATAGTCTAGTCTATAGTCTAGTCTATAGTCTAGTCTATAGTCTAGTCTATAGTCTAGTCTATAGTCTAGTCTATAGTCCAGTCTATAGTCTAGTATATAGTCTAGTCTATAGTCTAGTCTATAGTCTAGTCTATAGTCTAGTCTATAGTCTAGTCTATAGTCTAGTCTATAATCTAGTCTATAGCCTAGTCTAGTCTATAGTCTAGTCTATAGTCGAGTCCATAGTCTAGTCTATAGTCTAGAATATACTATAGAATGTCTATAGTCTATAGACATAACTAACGAACTAACTAACTAACTAACTAACTAACTAACTAACTAACTAACTAACTAACTAACTACTAACTAACTAACTAACTAACTAACTAACTAACTAACTAACTAACTAACTAACTACTAACTAACTAACTAACTAACTAACTACTAACTACTAACTAACTAACTAACTAACTAACTAACTAACTAACTAACTAACTACTAACTAACTAACTAACTAACTAACTAACTAACTACTAACTAACTAACTAACTACTAACTAACTAACTACTAACTAACTAACTAACTAACTAACTAACTAACTAACTAACTAACTAACTAACTAACTAACTTAACTAACTAACTAACTAACTAACTACTACTAACTAACTAACTAACTACTAACTAACTACTAACTACTAACTAACTAACTAACTAACTAACTAACTAACTAACTAACTAACTAACTAACTAACTAACTAACTAACTAACTACTAACTAACTAACTACTAACTAACTAACTAACTAACTACTAACTAACTAACTAACTAACTACTAACTAACTAACTAACTAACTAACCTAACTAACCTAACTAACTAACTAACTAACTAACACTAACTAACTAACTACTACTAACTAACTAACTAACTAACTAACTAACTAACTACTAACTAACTAACTAACTAACTAACTAACTAACTACTAACTAACTAACTAACTCACTACTAACTAACTACTAACTAACTACTAACTACTAACTACCTAACTAACTAACTAACTAACTACTAACTAACAACTAACTAACTAACTAACTAACTAACTACTAACTAACTACATAACTAACTAACTAACTAAAACTACTAACTAACTAACTAACTAACTAACTAACTAACTACTACGAACTAACGAACTAACTAACTAACTACTACTACTAACTAACTAACTAACTACTAACTAACTAACTAACTAACTAACTAACTAACTAACTAACTAATAACTAACTAACTAACTAATTAACTAAAATACATATTTCTTAAATATATTTCCAGTTTAAAACGGACAAAATCCAATAAGAGATTGACAGATGTTCGTACCAAGAAAATCGATTACAAACGAAATTCGTATTTTCTAACTGTGCTGCCATCTATTGTTTAGAATTACAGCGATTTTTCAAATTTAACGTTCGTTTTTGCTACCTCTCACACCACATGCCCGGCAACTGCTTGAAAAAGACGTTTCAAGTGGCAACTTCATACTAAACATATGTTTGGTTCATTTTTCTGGCAACCAACATAAAATTCACCACAGTTGTTGTTGACATTTGTTTAAGAACAAAACTTAACTTCTTTTAATATTATTTTAAGAAAAATGTAAGAAATTTAAGGTATTATATTAAAATCTTTATGTTTATATTAATTTTTTATTTTATAACAACAGGGCGGACTACTGGAAATCAAATGAGCGTAAATATTGTGATTTTTGCAAGTGCTGGATCAGTGACAATAAAGCGGTACGAAAAACGTATACTTGTGAAGGAATTAAAATCTATAAATTTTTGTTTTCTTTTGCACATTTTAGAGCATTTCCTTTCACGAAAATGGCAAGCGACATAAGCTGAATGTGGCCAAACGGATAACTGACATTAGCCGCAACAGCGAAAAGTCTGAACAGGAAAAACGTAAAATGGATGCTGAAATACGCAAAATGGAAGAGGCGGCTATGCGTTCCTATGCTCACGACATACACAGTAGAGGAGATTTGACTGCGCGCTCCATAAATGCTGTTATGACAGCAGGTGTAGGACCTTCAACAAGTGCTGAGGTCGGTTCCCATGCAGCTAGTAATAATTTTAAACAAGTTGATCCCATGCGTTTGGCTGGAAACTCAGATGATGAAAATGAAGTAGGACCTCGGGTGGGTATACCGAAAGTTGACCATAGTGCTGTGCCCAATGCCTCACTATGGGTAGAAGGTGTAAATGATGAGGGCTATTCATACTATTGGAATGTTAAGACCAATGAAAGTGTATGGGAAGTTCCGAAAGAAGGTTATCTCTCCTGGAAAGAATATCAACGTATTAACGAATTGGCTGTCAAACAACAGGAATTACAAGAAGCCGAACAGGCTAAGAAGTTTCGTGAGAATGTCAATGAAGAAGTAGCACGCTACAATCGTGAACGTTTAAAAATGTTTAGACCTCCAGTTAGCAAGCAGGAACAGAAAGCCGAAGAAGAACGCAAGGAAAGTTTTAAAACCGAAGAAGAAGCTAAAGCACCTGAAATTGGACAATGGCAAGTGGTAGAAAACAAGTAAGTTTAAACAAATTTTATATAATTTTAATAGAGAATTTATAAGTTTTTTTATTACAGACCTCCTCCAGCTCCCATTGATTTAGAGTTACCAGCTATAAACAACTATTATGCTGCTCCCGTTGTCTCGGATGTACCTTATGAACCGCCAGTTAAACGTTTCAAAGAGAAAACCATCGAAACATTAGATGCAGAAGTTACCAGCAATACGTCAACTTCATTTAAAAAGCGTAAATTTGCAGCGAAAGGAAATGCACGTAAACGTTTGGATGATGATTAATATATTCCAAAATATAAGGAGACTTTAGGTTTAAGGTAAGCTTTATTACATTATTATTGTAAAAAAAAACAGAATAGTCTATTTATGACCTTAGTTCTGCCATCGCTTGCATATTTTACAAAAAACTAATTCATATCGGTAATTATAAGAGATAGAGGGAAAACAATGAAAATCTGTGATCACTTGCATTTCCTATAAAAAAACGACTTTAGAGTGAAAACATAAAAGTCCATTTATCTCGGTAGTTATAAGAGAAAGAGCGAAAATAATGAAAATCTATGATCACTTTCATTTGCTATGAAAAAACTGATTTTTGAGTGACAACATAAAAGTCCATTTATCTCGATAGTTATAAGAGATCGAGCGAAAATAATGAAAATCTGTGATCACTTTCATTTCCGATGAAAAACTGATTTTTGAGTGAAAACATAAAAGTCCATTTATCTCGGTAGTTATAAGAGATAGAGCGAAAACAATGAAAATTGTGATCACCAACATTTCATATGAAAAACTGATTTTTGAGTGACAACATAAAAGTCCATTTATCTCGATAGTTATAAGAGATAGAGCGAAAACAATGAAAATCTGTGATCACCTCCATTTCCCATCAAAAACTGATTTTTGAGTGAAAACATAAAAGTCCATTTATGTCGGTAGTTATAAGAGATAGAGCGAAAACAATGAAAATCTGTGATCACTTGCATTTCTCACTAAAACTGATTTTTGAGTGAAACCCCAAAGTCCCTTTATCTCGCTAGTTATAAGAGATAGAGCGAAAACAATGAAAATCTGTGATCACTTGCATTTCATATGAAAAACTGATTTTAGAGTGAAAACATAAAAGTCCATTTATCACGGTAGTTATAAGAGAAAGAGCGAAAACAATGAAAAACTGTGATCACTTGCATTTCCTATCAAAAAACTGATTTTTGAGTGAAACCCCGAAAGTCAATTTATCTCGGTAGTTGTAAGAGATAGAGCGAAAACAATGAAAATCTGTGATCACTTGCATTTCTCACTAAAAACTGATTTTTGAGTGAAAATATAAAAGTCCACTTATTTCGGTAGTTATAAGAGATAGAACGAAAACAATGAAAATCTGTGATCACTTGCATTTCCTATCAAAAACTGATTTTTGAGTGAAAACATAAAAGTCCATTTATTTCGGTAGTTGTAAGAGATAGAGCGAAAACAACGAAAATCTGTGATCACTTGCATTTCTCACTAAAAACTGATTTTTGAGTGAAAACATTAAAGTCCATTTATCTCGGTAGTTATACTAGATAGACCGAAAACAATGAAAATCTGTGATCACTTGCATTTCTCTCTAAAAACTGATTTTTGAGTGAAAACATAAAAGTCCATTTATCTCGGTAGTTATAAGAGATAGAGCGAAAACAATGAAAATCTGTGATCACTTGCATTTCATATGAAAAACTGATTTTTGAGTGAAAACATAAAAGTCCATTTATCTTGGTAGTTATAAGATAAAGAGCGAAAACAATGAAAATCAGTGATCACTTGCATTTCCTATCAAAAACTGATTTTTGAGTGAAAACATAAAAATCCATACTAAAAACTGATTTTTTAATGAAAACATTAAAGTCCATTTATCTCGGTAGTTATACTAGATAGACCGAAAACAATGAAAATCTGTGATCACTTGCATTTCTCACTAAAAACTGATTTTTGAATGAAAACATAAAAGTCCATTTATCTCGGTAGTTGTAAGAGATAGAGCGAAAACAATGAAAATCTGTGATCACTTGCATTTCTCACTAAAAACTGATTTTTGAGTGAAAACATAAAACTCCATTTATCTCAATAATTATAAGAGATAGAGCGAAAACAATGAAAATCTGTGATCACTTGCATTTCCTATCAAAAACTGATTTTTGAGTGAAAACATAAAAGTCCATTTATCTCGGTAGTTATAAGAGACAGAGCGAAAACAATGAAAATCTGTGATCACTGGCATTTCCTATCAAAAACTGATTTTTAATTGAAAACATAAATTCCATTTATTTCGGTAGTTATAAGAGATAGAGCGAAAACAATGAAAATCTGTGATCACTTGCATTTCATATGAAAAACTGATTTTTGAGTGAAAACATAAAAGTCCATTTATCTTGGTAGTTATAAGATAAAGAGCGAAAACAATGAAAATCTGTGATCACTTGCATTTCCTATCAAAAACTGATTTTTGAGTGAAAACATAAAAGTCCATTTATCTCGGTAGTTGTAAGAGATAGAGCGAAAACAATGAAAATCTGTGATCACTTGCATTTCCTATCAAAAAACTGATTTTTGAGTGAAACCCCAAAAGTCCATTTATCTCGGTAGTTGTAAGAGATAGAGCGAAAACAATGAATATCTGTGATCACTTGCATTTCTCACTAAAAACTGATTTTTGAGTGAAAACATAAAAGTCCATTTATTTCGGTAGTTATAAGAGATAGAGCGAAAACAATGAAAATCTGTGATCACTTGCATTTCATATGAAAAACTGATTTTTGAGTGAAAACATAAAAGTCCATTTATCTTGGTAGTTATAAGATAAAGAGCGAAAACAATGAAAATCTGTGATCACTTGCATTTCCTATCAAAAACTGATTTTTGAGTGAAAACATAAAAGTCCATTTATCTCGGTAGTTGTAAGAGATAGAGCGAAAACAATGAAAATCTGTGATCATTTGCATTTCTCACTAAAAACTGATTTTTGAGTGAAAACATAAAAGTCCATTTATCTCGGTAGTTGTAAGAGATAGAGCGAAAACAATGAAAATCTGTGATCACTTGCATTTCTCCCTGAAAACTGATTTTTGAGTGAAAACATAAAAGTCCATTTATCTCGGTAGTTGTAAGAGATAGAGCGAAAACAATGAAAGTCTGTGATCACTTGCATTTCTCACTAAAAACTGATTTTTGAGTGAAAACATAAAAGTCCATTTATCTCAATAATTATAAGAGATAGAGCGAAAACAATGAAAATCTGTGATCACTTGCATTTCCTATCAAAAACTGATTTTTGAGGGAAAACATAAAAGTCCATTTATCTCGGTAGTTATAAGAGATAGATCTGTGATCACTTGCATTTCTCACTAAAAACTGATTTTTGAGTGAAAACATAAAAGTCCATTTATCTCGGTAGTTATAAGAGATAGAGCGAAAACAATGAAAATCTGTGATCACTTGCATTTCTCACTAAAAACTGATTTTTTTGAGTGAAAACGTAAATGTCCATTAATCTCGGTTGTTATAAGAGATCACTTGTGATCACGGTGATCACTTGCATTTCTCACTAAAAACTGATTTTTGAGTGAAAACATAAAAGTCCATTTATCTCGGTAGTTATAAGAGATAGAGCGAAAACAATGAGAATCTGTGATCACTACATTTCTCACTAAAAACTGATTTTTGAGTGAAAACATTTAAGTCCATTTATCTCAGTAGTTATAAGAGATAGAGCGAAAACAATGAAAGTCTGTGACCACTACCATTTCCTATCAAAAACTGATTTTTGAGTGAAAACATAAAAGTCCATTTATCTCGGTAGTTATAAGAGATAGAGCGAAAACAATGAAAATCTGTGATCACTTGCATTTCTCACTAAAGACTGATTTTTGAGTGAAAACATAAAAGTCCATTTATCTCGGTAGTTATAAGAGATAGAGCGAAAACAATGAAAATCTGTGATCACTTGCATTTCTCACTAAAAACTGATTTTTGAGTGAAAACGTAAATGTCCGTTAATCTCGGTTGTTATAAGAGATCACTTGTGATCACTGTGATCACTTGCATTTCTCACTAAAAACTGATTTTTGAGTGAAAACATAACACTCCATTTATCTCGGTAGTTATAAGAGATAGAGCGAAAACAATGAAAATCTGTGATCACTTGCATTTCTCCCTGAAAACTGATTTTTGAGTGAAAACTTAAAGTCCATTTATCTCGGTAGTTATAAGAGATAGAGCGAAAACAATGAAAATCTGTGATCACTTGCATTTCTCACTAAAAACTGATTTTTGAGTGAAAACGTAAATGTCCGTTAATCTCGGTTGTTATAAGAGATCACTTGTGATCACTGTGATCACTTGCATTTCTCACTAAAAACTGATTTTTGAGTGAAAACCTAAAAGTCCATTTATCTCGGTAGTTATTAGAGAAAGAGCGAAAACAATGAAAATCTGTGATCACTTGCATTTCCTATCAAAAACTGATTTTTGAGTGAAAACATAAAAGTCCATTTATCTCGGTAGTTGTAATAGATAGAGCGAAAACAATGAAAATCTGTGATCACTTGCATTTCTCACTAAAAACTGATTTTTGAGTTAAAACATTAAAGACCATTTATCTCGGTAGTTATACGAGATAGAGCGAAAACAATGAAAATCTAAAAACTAAAAACTGATTTTTGAGTGAAAACATAAAAGTCCATTTATCTCGGTAGTTGTAAGAGATAGAGCGAAAACAATGAAAATCTGTGATCACTTGAATTTCTCACTAAAAACTGATTTTTGAGTGATAACATAAAAGTCCATTTATCTCGGTAGTTATAAGAGATAGAGCGAAAACAATTAAAATCTATGATCACTTGCATTTCTCCATAAAAACTGATTTTTGAGTGAAAACATAAAAGTCCATTTATCTCGGTAGTTATAAGAGATAGAGCGAAAACAATGAAAATCTGTGATCACTAAAAACTGATTTTTGAGTGAAAACGTAAAAGTCCATCAATCTCGGTTGTTATAAGAGATCACTGTGATCACTTGCATTTCTCACTAAAAACTGATTTTTGAGTGAAAACATAACACTCCATTTATCTCAATAGTTATAAGAGATAGAGCGAAAACTGATTTTTGAATGAAAACATAAAAGTCCATTTATCTCGGTAGTTATAAGAGATAGAGCGAAAACAATGAAAATCTGTGATCACTTGCATTTCTCCCTAAAAACTGATTTTTGAGTGAAAACCTAAAAGTCCATTTATATCGGTAGTTATAAGAGATAGAGCGAAAACAATGAAAATCTGTG